AAGAAAGCTGTTTTCCGGCCAATTTCGATGGCAACTAGAAAAACCAAAAGTACCGCGTTTAACTGTAGGTTATAGCTAATAATATATCTCAAAATCATGGAAATTCTTCTAGCCGATTTTGAGAAAAACGATTAAACATGTATATGTGTTGCGTTTTTGTGCTTTGACGAAGACGCTCACAATCGGCCCATATTCATGATAAAATTCTAATGCCTAAAGCTCAATCTCACAGCAAAAGACTTGTTTGGCTTATAAGATAATGCTGTACAAGTATAAAGTTATGTGTCTTGCCAGTTTTGAAGATGTGATTTTTTTCAGTACATAGTAGTTTCTGTAGCGACTCTGAAAAAGTGTAGTTTTAGCGTTTTTCCAATTCATTCAAAACTGAGGCCGAATTTTTTTTTGTTCTTAACTGAGTTGTTTCATCACTATATGGACAACATTGTTGCTAAGTTTCGATTGGATTGATACATTTTAACCTGGTCAAAAAAAATTACAAMGTTTGCTTCAAGACGCGTTCAAGAATTTATGTTTTGGCTGCATGGTCGACAGYGCACGAGAAAATGTTTTAATATATTCAGGCGGATGTAACGCATTCCTTGAATGTAAGATGTAACGCTGTTATTAGAATACGCAAATGAGTCGTTGCACTGATTTTCTTTATTTTTTATTGATTCAAAGTAACTTGTAACGTCTGTGAGAATTTTTCGATTTTTTGTTCCTCTGGCTTGTTTTGTTTTTTCGCGTTTTGGCGGCGCTAAAAGTCCTATCAAACCTCTAGGACCCAGTCTGGAAAATACACTTTGCAAACAGTTGTAGTCTATTCCTTCCTTTGCCATTTTCTCTTTCATCGCTCTAGATACCGGAAGCTTGTGAAGTGTAATTACTTTTTGGCGTACTTCTTTCTGTCTCACAACTTTATTCTCGATGTCATCCAAAGTTGACGTGTATTTTTGATAGTTCTCACAAGTATTTTMTACTTTTTGCAGACATTGTCCAAGCGCCTTTACGTCAGCCAAAGCATCGTGAGCATTAAATWTTTCTTKAAACATTTCTTCGTATATCTTTGAAAGACTTAAGCCAGATTTCCTTTTCAGTTTGTCTTTAAAAAAWCGGAGACTATCGACGAAAAGTATATTCAAGGACTTCCACTCGTCTATTAGGGAGTATCGCTCCAACGAATTGAAAAGAACAGGGAAATCAAAGGTGTCCCCGTTGTGAGCAATTAAAACTATCCTCGATTGGTTGTTATTCTTCTCTTTTGTGACATAGTCCAAAAACTTTTCTAAAGACTGTTTTGGAGTCAAATCGCAAGCCACTTCCTTTCCGTCCTTCAGGAGCACTTTTTTTCCATTTCTAAATAAGTCGACATGTTATGAACCTTACTTGCCGCAGGCTTTATCTCTTTTTCTGGTACCGCGTAGCTGTTGAACTGTTCAGTTTCTGTGCTGAAATTGTTTGCAGGAACACAGGCAATCTGAATGATATCAGAGTCTCGTGGAAGTCCTGTTGTTTCTAGATCAAAAGAGAACACTCTGATGTTTTCATCTACTTCCTCTGATGTAACAGTAGGTTCTGCTGCTTCAGTAGCTATAAATTCATTGAAGGTTTCGTCACTAAGGCTGTCTAGTATGTTATTTAAAATTCCTTGTGTAATTAGTCTGCCTTCAGGAGTGACTGCCACTCCCGTCTCGTATGTACATCCCTCCTTCTTTTCCATGCTTTCTTTCTGTCTAGTATTTTTCTTTTTCAGCTCTTTCCTTCTTCTCTTTACAGGCCATTTCTGCTTCCTAATTTGCTCTCTTTWTCTTTTCTTGGAGCTGCTTTGTACATATTGCGTAGTAATACTGCATTCCTCTAATCCTAGCTTGTTGGTTGTCTTGCTCAAGTATTCAAAGCCCTCGTTAAACTGGGAAATTCCCGAAGCAACTCTGAAATTCAGGCTGTCAGATCCTCCGTAGTGCCTTATCTTTGGTGCCTTAGTGGCAATGACGCCATTTACACTCTCATTTTTTTGCGTTGAGCCACAGTTAGATAACTTTTTAATCCACTCATCAGCCTGGAAGGGCTTGATGGAGCTCTCGATGGCTGATCTTAGATTTTCGCCGCTTAGTGGCTTTCCACCAGGGAGATCTTTATACCGGAACTCGTCAGGACTCTTTAGAGCTCCACACCAAGTAACACTGCAGGTAGTATGATCTCCAAAGGCGTGACTTATTAGGGAATCCAAACCCTTTTTTAACTCAGTTGGATTACCTTTATAAAAGATAAGTAGAAAGAGGAAAAAGAATAATTTGAATATAATTGTATATATAAGAATCAATTCAGTTGAGATACTACTATAGTTACCTTGATTGCTTGCTACACAATATACAAAGAGCTTTTGAATATAGCTGATCACCGTAGGATTTAGACCTTTGATGGATGGTCGCATGGCATRCAACCTACTACCCAGTGTTCTGCTGGCATGATTACGKTCAGTTCTTTTTGTGGTCTCGTAGTTGACTCTATACTTGATGTGGGACTCGGTGGTTGCATCTTCATCAGCTGTATAGGATGAGTACTTCACACCATTACTCGGGCCTGCGCTGAAGCATTCTACTGCAATTTCCGCCTCCATAGACTTCGCGGACCCGTTATGGTTTTTACGACAATCATGGATAGTGTTTTTTCCTGCTTCGCATGTCCGACATTTGGTAGATTTTACTTGGTAGTCAATGACTTTTCCAGTCAATTCACCTATTACTGTCCCAAAACCAGATGACGAATTCCGTGCCTTCCCACGTTTCGGCCATGCCCCATCATATGACACTGACACTTGGAGATCACCTTCTGCGTCAGTAATACTGCTTGCCTTCTTTTCCTCGTCAAGAAAGCGGGAACAGCTGTCCCTGCACAATGACTCAATCGCTAAACCAACTTCTTTTTCTCGTTTTCTAAACGTATCTTCAGATAGGCAACCAATGCCTAACAACGACAGAACAGCGTTCAGATGTSTGAGACCCTGTCCGGTATGTAGCATAGCCAAAACTGCACGCGTATTGAGAGATACAGCGTTTGGCCCATGAGTTCCAGTTTTGTGAGTTTGGKAGGGTCTCAGGGTGCACTTGTTGTTACAGCTGGTACAGTTGACATAGAAAACAACACCTAAGCCAATACGTTTGGGTCTTTCCAGTATATTACTTAATGAAAGTGGGCCTTTTTTGCACTTTGGACATTTGCGCAAACCATCAAGTAACAATGGAAGATTGATTATATAGTTTCCATCAAAGCTTTCGTCCAAGTCACGTTTGCTTCTCGAGCGAAGCACTGGAGGCGAATAAGTGCCACATGAGGACTGTAATTTGTCTTTGCGATATCTTTGAGTTCTAACCGACTTGAGTTTTTTCCGACGAAGGATTAACATCCGAAACGTCAGTAAGTTTTTCCACATACTTTTTTACGGTGTTAAATTTATCTTTTTACATAACTGTTGAGTTTTTCCCTCCTGTATCGCAGAAGTTGATGCTTCTTGGTAGCATTTTTCGCCATGTTCGAAAGAAAGCAAATCAAGCATTTTGCATTCTTTTCTTTTATGTCATGATGGAATGCGTTACATCCGCCTGAATATATTAAAACATTTTCTCGTGCGCTGTCGACCATGCAGCCAAAACATAAATTCTTGAACGCGTCTTGAAGCAAACGTTGTAATTTTTTTTGACCAGGTTAAAATGTATCAATCCAATCGAAACTTAGCAACAATGTTGTCCATATAGTGATGAAACAACTCAGTTAAGAACAAAAAAAA